TTAATTAACAAACCATTACTACAAAATAATAAACATCCTCATCCTGGGGAAAAAAAAGAGAAATTTAATTGCTATAAACAAAAGTAAGCTGATGTGAATGTACGTCATAAGTGAATTAACAAAACCATTTATCCGGAGCTAAATTGTCTTCCGTCTGCATGTGGCAGGATTTCTTTCTCTCCCTCTCTCTCTCTCTCTCTCTTCCGAAGGAAGACCGATGTTAAATTTCTCAGAAACCGAGATATCTTTAAGAATAAAAACAGACGTTTGAAACCTAACGAAATAGATACAGAAAGTTGTAGATAATTCCGAGATGTCAATAAAAATTTCGTCTTTTTTACCCGCATGTAAATTACACTTTTTCACAATTTTCCTAGAAACACCGACGCAGTTCACACCAGTTTAAGGCTAGTTATATACCTCCGTTTTCTATTTTTTATTAGTGCATTCATTGGATGAAATCATAGACCTATCTTCCGACTAACACAGGGAGTATTATTATATTTCTAACTTCAATGACGAAATATTGTTTCGCAATAGTTATTTTCAGAAAGCTCAACGGTGCGGAGCAAGAAAGCAGTCTTCATTTCCTATTGGATTGGCAAAGACAGCACTGCTGCCTAAAAAAAATCCAAAATATTCTTTGACTTTGTGAAATTAACTGAGACAACAAGAACACTGAACAGACGTTTCCCCAACAGCATCATCTTCGCACTTCTAAACTGTTATTTTAACACTTTTTCCTTGTGTTTCAGTTACAAAAGTATCTTAAAAGTTAAAAATGCCATAAATGCAAACAAATGGAAAGTTTTTTTGACGTTTGAGAGGAGAGTAGCTGCTAGCAACTAACTCAAAACGAACAATGGACAAAAACTCAAGCACTCAAGCGTGTTTCTTTATAACGTACAACCATCAGCAAATCCAAGATGGCCGCCTAATTTACATAATTGCTGCCATTATCGCGACTGGTTGTATTCTACCATCGGTTACCTTAAACATCTTATTAATACGGTCTCTTGGAGCATCAACGTCTTTAAAAAAGCCTCCCACATTATTATTGTATAGCCTCTCTATATCGAACTTATTGATGGGCGCCATTTTGCAACCGGTTTATCTGGTGAAGAAGATCGCCGAGCTGAGAACCTATTTCAATTTATACTGCGTCACCGGGTTGTATTGCTACGTTGTCGGTTATACTTTAGCAACTGTGTCGCTATTYACGCTCACCGCCATCGCTGTTGATCGATACTTCATTGTACATTGGGGATTGCATTACCCAATTCGCGTCACGCAACGACGAGTTTATGTCACCATTMTCCTTATATGGGTACTGAGCATAATACTCAGCACTGCCCAGCTTTACATGCCCAGGTCCTTAACGTTCCCAATTGCCGGAGCAGGCATGGGACTTTGTGTTCTTGTGTCTGCAGCGTGTTACGTAAGTATTCTGAGGACGTTGAGGAGAAGACGGATTGGGGTACAGCAACTGAACGAGGCTCCGGGCAAACATCGACWTCCTCGTGTCGATAGATACGSAAAGTCGGCCATGACAATGTTACTTGTGTTCTTGGTATTCATGATATGTTATTTGCCATATYTATGCACAATGGTTGCTGGTTCGGTGCTAGGRGAGTCATTTGAAGGAATCGGGTCAGCGGAGAGTATTGTCACAGTTATCGCGTATACAAAGTCGACTATCAACCCTATCATTCTCTTTTGGAGAATTCGCGAGATACAAAACGCCCTCATTGGAACGCTTAGAAGGCTATTATTGAGACTTAAGGTAACAACARTTAATGAACACACAAGACGACGCGTCACTCCAGTTTCAGAACTTGAGAACACATGGATTATGTAGCTATATGGTTAATCTTGTCAACTTCACGTATGAAAATTAGGTGTAATTTTTGAAATTAGATGTAAAATTTAACCTCCACATTCAAACTCATGTAAATTTACCACTTACATTAAAAACAGCTTTAAGAAAAATTTGAGGATATTACATGGGCGCGCAGAGATATGGATTTTATCTTCGGGTGTTGAAAAGATCTCTCACAAGTGAGAGCAGTGAGCGAGGGAGAGATTTTTTTCAACACTCGAAGATAAAATCCGTATCKCCGTGCGCCCATGTAATATCCTCTATATATTATACAAACTACAAGTAAGTAATAAAGACTTACCAGAAGTTAAAGAAAAAATGCTTCACGTGCTTAATGAGGAGTCTTGTTGTACCGAATAATTTCAGTCAGTGAAGCCTTTTCCCTCTTTGTTTAGTTACTGTTGTTGTTTTTGTTTCGCATCGTTTTTTATATTTTTGTAGTTTCGATGTACTCACTATCCAGTCTTACTTATTAATAAACTACTTTACACATGGAGTCATGAATGGACATGACGCCGTAATGCCCTCTTCCAGAATCTGAGACACGACACTTCCAGGTCCTTCATCACACATTTGCCTCAGGTCTTGTGAATCCCAAATCTCCTCCATTCATCCAATGTCCTGTACACGGCTTAAAAACTCTGTAGCCATGMCCAAAAGAGCWTTTTTTARGTCTTGAAGCTTTAATTTTCAAAATTAGGGCAGAARTTTCAGTTGAACCACTTCAGCATACAACTTGCAATGCGCTTCAGCCTTATATTGCTGGTATACATCCAGTCATTCMAGGTAAGTGTTATATATTCCTACCAGGACTGGTAAAGTGGTGGTATTGTAGTTAAATATGAAAAAAATATAAAAAATATGCAATGATAGACGATTTTGGTTGCCATAAAAGTAATTGCCCTATTTCATTATGACGTCACAGTATGTTTACATCGGAAAACGATGCTCAAAAACAGCTGAAATTTGGAGCCATTTATATTGTCGACTAAAGTAGAACTTCAGTGAATCGTGTTTTGATATATATCATGTATAAATGATTGTTCATGTACATTTTATTTGATATGCAGTCACTCTGATCCCTTCTGGCGACCATAATCCTTAGCGTTAAAACAATAGAATGTTTTGATGTGACGTCATAATGAACTAGGGCAATTGTCATTGTCAAAATTTAATAGACGRAGTTTATTGTTTACAAAACCGATAGGAATTCCTAGAATACATATAACCTTTATTAATTTTAGCTACAAAATGGATTATTATGAAGTTTTTAACTTAGAGTATTTTGAAAATTACATTAGCAAATTTCCTTTTATAAAAATTAAAAAAGCTATAAGATAGTTATTGTCTTTTTAAGACGAATGATTACATATTATTTACATTAATACATTTGATGCAGTATTAACATGAATGTATACCAAGTAATTATACAAGGCTCGTTTAGAACGCCATTTTCATCTGAGCTCTTACAATCTGTTTATTAACTTTCTAATTTCTGAACCATATTTTAGCGTTCTTCTCAAAAGAACTTTCTGAATAAATACAACTGARCGTCAGCCYTGTCGCTCATTGTGCGAAGTTGGAACTTTTTAACTTCGTTTTGAATATTTAAGAAGTTTTAGCGCAAGCATTTAAAATATTTAGATTTCATCTATTTCCTAATGTATCTATAAAAAAGGAAGCCCGCAGCTGCAACGAATAGACACACGCTGTAATAAAACAAGGAGGAATCATTGCTATCGTCCGTGTTRCTTGTTATGGAAGGATCGGAATAATTTTCCTCCGAGGTGCTCTGTTCGTTGGGTGTATGYGACAAGCCTTCCAGTTGCCCAGCGAAATTAGGGGTAGTAGAAGTACTCTCTGTGTACACTTCATGAAACGTTAACGCTTCGTGAGCTTGACTGTTGAAAGAGTAAAGAAATAGCAATCTGTGATAACAATTTTGTTTGACTTGACTGTCTTACGACCTGATTGACTAACGTACTGACCAAACGAATGAACCTATTAGTAAGTCTGAGTGACTATCTCCTGCTTCTGCCGCACTGTCATGACTACCGACTAGCTAAATTTTGATCGTTTTCAATCATTCCCATGAGATTCAAAAGATAAAAGACCGGCGGCCATATTGGAGGAATGAACAATAGATACTAATGAGAAATCTTTTGTTGAAGTTCATCCAAGATGGCCGCTGTGACGTATGGTGAAAACGAAGAATACGAGGCCTGGAAGGGTTGTAGAAATGGAAAAGACCAACTGAGCATATTGCGAGACTGTTTAATTGATCGATGAGGAACTGCTGCTAAACAATTTCCTTCCCAAGACCCCAAGTATTTGAAGATGCCACCTAGGTGACTTAGGCGTTCTTGTTGTTGTTGTTGTTGTTGTTGTTGTTGTTGTTTTTTTTTAATTCTTGAGTTTCAAAGACGTCATCTCAAAACGTTTTTCACTCGAACTACATTCAAATACTATTAGAGCATAATGAATTACGTTCTTTGACGATATTCTAGAATTGTAGAGCATTTGCTTATGGAATTATTTGCAATCGAGTATACGAGAGATTTAGTAAAAGTATATTGGGTAAGTCACGTGCAGGTGAGAAGAATTCCACATTATATTATTCGTGATTTTCATCGACCGTTCGTGAAACAATTCAAGCTTTCTTGAGAACCAAACAATTGTACAATTTTACATCTGATCATCGCAGGTCATACCACTTAATTGCACTTTATTTTAATGTAAGAGAGTCTGGAGTAATGGTTCAGCTATGACATACATAGCTTGCATTGCCATACGACAAATATTACAGTTTTTATACTTTCGATGACGTCACATARAATCCAAGACTGAACTAGGTATATGATGATTACATAGAGGATATTACATGGGCACGCGGAAATACTAATTCTATCTTGTTCGTGTGGTTCAATCCATATCTCACGAATGAGCGTAGCGAACGAGTGAGATATCAATTGAACACGAGAAGATAAAATTAGTATTTCCAAGCGGCCATGTAATGTTCTATTTATTATATAAATATCTATCTGTCGATCTATTACATTAATATTGACCTAACTGGTCGGAAAAAAATGCGTCAACATGCCAACAATGATATCTTCGCATGTCAAAGATAAGATATCTTTCATGGTACAACATATTGCATTTTGACAACTAGAGGAAACCTGGTATCTCATCGATGTATATAATAAAAATTGATTACATACCTGACTTTGCCACTAAGTATTTCCTTATAACGACATAACAGTTCGTCCCTGCCTCTTTCGCAATTTATCTTGAGCATGACTTTCATAAGGGAATGCAAGTTTGCTGAACTGCCTGAGCGACTTCTCCACGCCTTCATTATCTCTTGGAATTGTTTTTCCTCTGACAAATTCCATCTATTTTTTTCATATTTTTCTGTCAGRTCAAGTGCCATAGCAATATCCTGGCAGAACTCGACGACCATTGGTGAAATTGCACGTATAGTTCCTTCATCGATAGGTTTTTCAACCATTGCTCGACCTACGGTTAACAAATAAGATTGTAGATCGGTATAGTCGAATAGAATTCGTTGCTTCTCAATTGTATATATTTTTTACAGTTCAAGTTCATAGAATGAGCCACTAAAAAGTACTTATTCGTAAAAGGATTCAGAATATTAGATAATCCTTACACAAACCTTTTTCCAGGAGTTCTTTAACATGTAGACCTCCGTCGAATTTCGCTTGTGCACTGACAACAGCATCAAAAACTTGCTCTTCGTAGACTTTGTGAGCTATTTTCTGATAGAAATATTGAATAGCCTTGCTTTCGAAACGTTCTTCGGTCGTTTTGTCTAGAATATCTCTAAKWTCTTTCTGTGAAGTCATCTGAGATAAAACTTTACGACAGTTTGACACAACATCTTCGATCGCAGTGTCTGACAGAATATCGTCCTCAAGTGGAATTCCAAAGAAWTCTTTGGGAGTGAGCTAAATAATAATGAATTTTATTAGCTTACTAAAACAAAAACAATGAGTCTCATTGTGAGTACTTTGATCCTTGTACTATAATATCTAAATATCAGTTTTTACAGGATTTAGGACCTTAACCGCTGTTAGTTATTTTTTTTTTTAACAAAAAAATGTGGCGATGGCGAGGTCGCCAAACTGGACTGGAGGAAAGGACTGGACTAGGTGGGCATGGCAAAACGGATGACCTAAATCTATTAATGGTTTTAGTGTTTGCGCTCTATTATTATTAGTTTTCACTGGAAAAAATCGCGCGCTTTAAAGGTTGTAAATTTGATGTAAATATTATGTAAGTGTCCAAAATGATGTAAATTTGATGTAAATTTACATCAAATTTAAGCATCAAATTTACATCAAATTTACATCATTTTGGACACTTACATGATATTTACATCAAATTTACAACCTTTTAAAGTGAACGATTTTTTCCAGTGTTTTATTGTAATAAAACACTGAAACCTCTAGAAACAGTATGTTTTCAGGTTCCTCGACACTGAAACCTCTAGAAACAGTATGTTTTCAGGTTCCTCGACCGCTGATGTTTCGCTCGGGAAAAAAATGCGCTCTTAGGACCACACAAAACATACTGGTCCCTTCGGTCCCTGTAAATAAATGCAAATGTCCTCTGGTTTGCCATTACCTCTTCGATGTCTGGTAATAGGAATGGAACTTCACAAAACACCTCGCTTCTTTCAAAACCTTTGAATTGACAAGTGCACCTGTTCTCTTGGACAAGGACGTGCAATCCTCTTTCTCTTTCGCATTGGTGATCAAAACTGAAAAAAGGTCAAGATACTACTAACATATCTGCTGTAAGGGCCAAACTCACATTGACATCACATGACAACAATCATGTCTTGTAGCTCTACTGACAATAGGGTTTATTTTCCAAGCCTGTTCCTACACAGCTTTTGCCTTTAATACAATGGGCATCACTCTTAGAAATGCACCTATTACTGGAGTTAAAAAAATRCCMGGATGTAAAGGAGACWTRACGTACCTTATTGTAAATGGATTATTAAGACGATCTGTCTCGTGTTCAAATCGCTTTACACCACCAATAAGCTTTACGGTGACTTTCTCTTTGTCGTAAAGATCCTCTAATGAATTACTCTTCCTGTCCATATGTGACGGTTTTACACTAACTTTCAGCGTTGCTTTGTAACCTACACGGCAATCGAGGCTTACGCTGAAGAAAGCACTCATGGGCGATTTRCCAAAAACTTTGGAAAGCAATCTTTTGACATTTGGAACGACGTTCTCGGCATTCTTAGAGTCCTTTAGCCAAACTGGCAAAAACCTTTGAGAATAAATTAATAATTTTGAGCTTTAGATATGTAATATATATATTGCCTCGCAAAAAGGTTGTCAACGGCGAAAAAACATAATCGATTTAGTACAATTTGTAGTGCGTGATTCTTCTTAATACTGTAAGATTTCGTAAGAGCAGCCATGTTGGATGAAGATTTTTATCAATCAGTTTCACCTTTTCATTCATCCAACATGGCGTCGATAGTTTTGTTCTTTGTTTTGAGGAAAAAAAAACAGCCAAAAAACAAAGCAGCCACAATCAGTTTCTCTAATCAGTTTTGTGAGTAAGGGAGGCTGACGTGAATACTAAGTAACATAGCACATTTTCCAAGAGGCTAACTGCAAATTTGATATCCAAAATAATCAGAATAAACATTTGGATTCCTTGCAAAACTAAGAARTTTAATTATAATTGTTTAGAAACTTACAGTGAGAAATGGTTGATTTTCATCTCTACAACATTTCCATGAACATCCAAAATAATGTTATCCGTGATGTCCTTCCATTCACCATTTCCATCATCACGTTCATTGTACAATATTCGAAGGTCKCCTKGCTKTGGCTCATCGCGGTGAAAAAMCAACGGGWGAGGGAGCTTCACTTTAACTGGTTTGAGAATATCATMAGAAGGTGCGTCAGACATCGATAATTCAATCACTGGTCCACAGCAAACCTTGGTCGACTTGAAAAGCCTTTTGGGAAGTGGATGGACCTACAATTATGTAGAACAAACTTATTTATCATTATTATTCCTCAGACAAAATTCAGCAATTTCAAAAAACGATAACTTATAATTGGAACAACACACACATATTATAAAATATTATAATTTTACAWTTTTTTCTATATCAGTTATCATCACTGTAGAACAAACTAT